ATTAGACAAAAGAAATGATGTTGGGTTTTGTTCTTTTTCCATACTTTTCCTCACATATACTTAAATGTTCTGTGAAAATATCAATTAAAAATATGCATGTGATATTTAGAAAATTAGTTTTTTCTTGTTTTCCGAAAACACAAAAAAATGACTTAGGCACTTATGCTATGAAGCTAACGCTGCTTTATCTCACAGCAGCCTGTGGGCTCACTCTATGGGGTTCCTTTTGAGTTGCTCATACATTTTACATATACTTACTGTACTTTATTTTAAACTTGTAAATTAAATACTAACTCTTAAATAATGGAAGAAAAAATATTTGATTTGATCTGGTTTATTTAAGAGTGTCTTTAGACGATTAGACGAATCCAAACCATCGCTATTCCATAAGTTGGATATTTTCTGTTTTCATAGTTTCTAAGGGAGGTATAGCAATTCTGATTGAAGTGCCAAATTCACTAGAGGACAGTGGTCAGAGCTTACTCATGAAACCATCAAACCGATACTGAAAACATGCAACAGCTTCACACACAAGACATGTACTTTTAAAAGTAAAATTCATATTTATACAAGCTATAAATATGTTCTATATGAATTAATAATAACCTTTACATGGCTTTAAATACAAACAAACAATAATAAAAACCCCTCTGGCACATAATGTGAATATAACCAAACAAATGAATCAAGTAAAAAATAAAGACAACCTTTGACAAGGTTGCATGAATAAAAGTTTCTCACTCACTAAAAGTATTGTAAAGGAGTTTGCAATGTTAAAAGATGAGATATAAATAATTGATAAAAAAAAATAAATTCAAAAGTCTGTTAGAAATAATGATGCAGAATTAGCTGGGAAGATTTCCCTTTATCAATTAATTATTTTTGCCATTACTGAGATTTGTGGCTTCTGGATTTGTAGTCTTATGTAGTGTAGCTTAGTTGTTTTGCACAAGTTCAATGATACACAGAGCAACAGCATGAGTTAATAATTCAGTTTTCAGTGGACAGGAGAGTTTATTTATCACCTCTATCTAAGGGTCATTTTTGTCATTGGCTGACCAGGTTGCAAACTATGGCGTGGGAGGACAGTATGAGCCACATTTTGACTTCTCCAGGGTAAGTTCACTTTTTAGGTGAAAGTTTGTGTGCACTGTGGATGTGAAAACTGCTGTGGTTTGTCTTGGCATGCTTCCCACATTCCAAAGCTTAACTTAAATGTCTTACTTGTGAACAGAATTACTTGCGTTACAGAATGACTAATACATGAGTGTGTGTGTGTGTGTGTGTGTGTGTGTGTGTGTGTGTGTGTGTGTGTGTGTGTGTGTGTG